TATATATACACACACACACACACACACACACACAGGCATACACAGGCATCTTATGTGGTAGAGCCGATGCGGAGCCGTCAGTCAATCAGCGTGAAGAGCTCTCCAATTAGCATGGCTTAGCCTGAGCCATCAAATATTGATTCCCCTTACGGATATCTTCGCCTTCATCTTTTCTCCTGGCCTGGGATGACTGTCTTCCACCTGCAGCCCAATAATATTTATTATTTATTTTGTGCCTTTTTTTTTATTTTATTTTTTGTATTTGGCTTAAGCTTTTTTGCCCCTGACATATTGTCATTTTTTGGCTTTCTACTTGAACGTTTTCATTGTAAACATTTTTCTTGCTCGGCTGGTTTTTTTTTTCTTAGTTTAGTTTCTTGACTGTACTTGAAGATGGGGGAAAAAAAAAGATCTATATATAGCCAAAGTATATGGATGTTTAAGGTTGATTTGAGCAAGACTTGAAGTTATATTTGAGATGCTTTTAAAAGTTTACAAAGTGTATTTTATAGCTGGGCTGAGACTTCAATTAGATAATTGAATAAAGCTGATTAATCATAACTTAGCGATGGCCTTTTCCCATGATCTTTTGGCCCCACGTTCGCTTATTCATTTGTCTTTGAGACTCTTCCTCCCTTTGCTCTCTCTCTCTCTCTCCCTCTTTGCTTCCTGGTTTATCGGTTTGTTTGCCGTGCGTGCCGCTTTCGCCTTTTTTGGCCAACGCCGACGACAAATTCGTTTCATGCCCAAAGACGGAGACAAGCTTAAAACGCATTACCAATTTTGGCCATGGCTAATTTCACATATTTATTTATTGTTTCGTCCCCTTTGAATATGCTGGTGGAATGTTTGGAGAATATGGCTGAGAAATGGGCAGAGAGCTATGGCGAACATAGTAGCTAGGGACCGCGTGGCGTATACTTGATAACATTATGAACTTCGCTTGCGTCAATTCCGCTGAAATTCCTGGCTAATTAGATTCCTTGTGAGCAAACCCCCCTCACCCCCTTGACATTTGTAGATTGCAATTAAATTGCATCTCATGAATTTCTAGGAATCTTTGGTCTTCGCATTTCCAAGAACACGTGAAAGCGTCAATAATCTCGTTAATTAAGGAATAGATTTCAAAGTACGTTCGTGGAAGTGTTGAAAACTGATTCTTGGGTGATTCATACACACACTCACACACACACAGAGAGTATCCTTTCTGGTTTGATTGGATTTCGCCTTTTTGATTAGAATGGAAATTATAATTAAGCTGAAATTTAATGCTTGCATAAGATTCCCAGAAGCCGTCCAATTAAGCCAGCAGCTTACCTCTTTATTTCTATTTCTCAGCAGAAAAGTGGATTGCGGCACTTGAGGTGAGTTATTGTACACTCGAAAGTGTTTTTACCATTATGACATGGCGTTGGAAGACTCTTTTGCTTCAAAAGGCTGTCGTTCTTTCGAGTTCCCAAAGTTCATTGATGGAAAATTAAGGCAGTTAAAGAGTTAAATTGCCTTTTGAGTGCGTTTATCTTGGGGTTTTCCCAGGAGAATCACACTATTAATCTGCCATTTTCTCCCTGTGCATGATGAGGCATTAGGGAGCTTCTTCTTGTACCGCCAAAGTTGCTAATTTTAGCCTTAGCCAGGAATAAACTTCATATAACAATATCCAATTTCCCCAGCATCCCACACGCTTCTGCAGCCAAGTAACCAGGATTCATTCAGTGGGATGTGGAATGTGGAATGTGGGTGGGATAAGCGTAGAGCAAAACGCATGCCAAGGCACGTTAAGTTGCCCACTCGAGCCCCATCAGGAAAACTCCTCCTCCGTCGTCGTCAGAGGCTCTCGTTGCTCCTGCCCGGTCTACGGGGGCGGGCCAACAGCCGGACGGAAAGGGTGAATCCGGAGACGCCAAGGTGGATACTTGAAGTTTGTCCCAAGTTTCATTCAACTTTTGCGCAGACTTTTTGGCCCTCAAGGCAAATAATCTGGCCAAGAACAGCAGTATGTTCACCAAGCCACCTGCCATTGTGTGTGTTTTCCTTCTTTTCCTCGGCGAGTTTGGGTTGTGTTTGTCAATTAAATGTGTGTGCCTGGTATGGATGGTGGCCCTCTCTGGGTGGTGGTGGCTATGCTGGATGGCTGACTGAGCATTGTGATTGTTATTATTGGATTGCCTGCTATCTCAGAGCCGCCAGCCCCCCCAATTGGATTCTAATTGGATGTGGGAATAACCAGAAAGTGGGGTGTTGAAAAAGCGGACGGGTGGTGTAAACAGCTGGGCTTTGTGACCCTGAAACGCTTGTAACGCCGGTCGACAAGTTCAGTATTTTGTAGCCATTTCGTTTCAGTTTCAGTTTATATTCAGAATATTAATATATAAAAAAGAAATATCCCCGATTATGAGTCATAAGCACCCCTAAAGCTGGCATGCCAGGGGAAAGAATATGAACTGAAATGTTATACAATATTTCCTATATTGTATTGTGTTTTAGCCATTCAAATTTCCTTGAGACACGCACCGTGGTTTATTTATTGGCCAAGTTAACGAAACAAGTCAAGAAAATGAAGTAAGAGTTGATTATTTATTACCCTTATTGAGTACTCCTACAAAATGTTTGCTACTTTTCAAACTTTTGCAAAATTGAAACAGCACATATAGTCGATGTTTATTTTTATCAAGGAAAAGTATATATATTATTAAATAGTTATTAAAAGAAAGACTTCTTGGTATTTTCTTGAACGTGTGACGTCTATAGCATGCCTTCTACGAGGGCAAGTGTATTATTAATAGACTTTATTGACTGTTTTCAATATGCAAATTGGACTGTAGAAGGTCATGGGATATTTTTACAGAGTTCCAACTGCTACTTGAAGGAGAATTTTATATAAAGTAAAGGAAATTTTTGCTGTCCTGCGCTATAAGATTCATTCTGTTGGGAATTTTTGATCAGTAAGTTAAGAAACAGAGAAATAAAGACAACTTCTTGTAATTTCCCAACTCCCCTTGTTGGGATTTATAAAAAGTATTGCCTACTTTCTAGCTTCCATTAAAATTATGCAACACTGAAAGCAGGCAGAACTTTAAGGTGAATTCATATGTTTTCCTATGTGTGTGTGTGTGAGTTGGGATCAAAGTGAAAGTGCACATGAAAACAAACTGAAAGGCAGGACAAAGGCATGAAAAGTAGCAACAAAACAAAAAAGAAGGAAAAGAAGGAGAGGCAGCAGATGAAAGGAAGTTGTTTATATAGACATATGTGTGTGTGTGTGTGTGTATGTTGCCTGCATTTCTGCTCCTTCATCTTTGTGTGTGTTTGTATGATTTGATGATGCAATCTTTGGCAGAAGAAGCAGAATAAGAAACACACGGAAAAGGGGGCGGAAAACGTTAGACCAACTTAATTGAAAATGCTGGCAATTAGAGCTTTAAGAGGAATTTATTGAGCCAACGGCAGATGCACTGACACTGAAACAATAGGAGGGCAGACCGAGGGGAGGAACGACAATATTTTTTAGGTAAACTGCGAAAAGAACTTTTAATTAAATTCTCCACACAGCCACATGCCTGTGTGTGTGTGTGTGTTTGTGTGTGTGCTTATATTGGTTGTGATTGTGCGTTTAATTAAAGTGCATTCGTTGTTGTTTTAACCGCACTTTCAGCTTGTTTTCCTTTTTTTTTTTTTCATTTACCCACTGCTTGCTGACCTTAATCTGCTTGCTGCACTGCTTTTGGGGCCAATAAACTAAATAATGATGGCATGGATGATATATATACAGATGCCTATATACACCAAAAGCAAATACAGTGGTAAAGAACGTGGAGCCACCCACCTATCTCTCTTGCTTTAGCCTTCCATCTTTCTCTTTTCCTCTACGGAAAATCACATTTCACCTCTGAGTGAAGCCAAGTTTTCCACTTGTTGTTGTTGACTTTGCTGTATCTCAATGTGCCATCGACGAAAAATGCCGCAATGAAATTTGCTCAACATTTCCCCAACTGGGTGAAGGTTGCCAAAGCTCTTGCCCCCAACCACTCACCGCTCGCCACATTTCTCTTTCTCAAACGAACCGTTGAATGTGTCGCATTTTTCTTTTAGCCTAGCCCAGTTTACCTAGCGGCCTTTAAACTCAGCCAGTAGAATAAGTTTTAGCAAAAGAAAAACTAATGATAAACATTAAATATTTTCCTAAAAAGAGTAACTAAAAAGCAGCAATAAATAGCTCAAGTTCCTATAACTTGTTTCGGTGAATCCACTTGTTTTAGTTAGTACTTGGTTTCTGCGTAGTACTATCACGCTTATTCGACTTCAATAATGAAAAGTATAAGGTTTCCCAAGGAACGCATACACACGAACTCCCACAAGTACCTTTGTTTGTTCTTTGAAATCCTCTTTGGCAATGTTTTCAACACAATTGGCAATGGAGTACAAAAACCAGAGCATTTCATTGGGTTGCGTGTTAATTAATAAATGCAAAGCTTTTTAGCCGGAACTCGTGCCATGTGCAGGCCAACTTGGTTTATTGCAGAAGGTTTCCCTGGAAACTGTTCGCCCCCGTGCTTGGCCCACTCACACATATATGGTATATCTCAGCTGGACTTGTCCCCCTTCTAACCCCCACCCTTTTGTTCGGACCGATGCACAACAGTTTGCAATATTCCTGGGAAAAACTACAGGTCAGCGGCGTTGGGCGGTGTATTAGAAAGTTTCACCATACTAGGGGAAAATGTCACTTTTCTGGGGAAAACCGTACAGGTCAAAATGCCAACTGCCACAAATTGAATGCCAGGAAAATGCAATACAAATTAGTTCTTGCTTTAACCTTATAGACGCAAATCCTACATTCAATCGTAGTTTGGCGGTTCTAAAGGTAGACAAATTAATAATTTAAGAGTGCAGTTAATAGTTAATAATAGTGATTAGCCTTACCAAAACGTATTCTTATCTCAAGCTAAAATTTTTGACCAATTACTAATCATGAAAACTCGTTACTTTGCTTTTTCCAGGGCGGCTATCCGGCGCGTCTAAAGAAAGTACTGATCGTGACGGCTCCACTGTGGTTCAAGGCACCCTTCAAGATCCTGCGTCTGTTTGTGCGCGAGAAGCTGCGCGAGCGAGTGTTCACTGTATCGGTGCCTCAATTGGCGCTGCACGTGCCGCGCAAGGCGCTGCCCATTCACTTGGGTGGCACGCTGGAGGTCGATCACGCCACATGGTTGCACAGCTGCCGCCAATCGATGACGAATCGTGAGGACGAGCTGCTGGCCAATATCGTGGGTGTGGGAGGATCTGGTTCTGCAACTGGATCAGCGGCAGTGGTGGCCACCAATGGCACGGAAACAGAGGCCGCAACAACGGGAGCCACGATAATCAGCGCCGTCCATCAATTGGGCGATAATAATACCACCGTGGTGACGGTTAGCAATGGTGTGGGTCCAGCTGGAACGGCGGCTGGAGGAGCAACTGCAGCAGCAGCAGCAGCAGCAGCAGTAAGCTGTAGTGCCGAGCCCAACGAAAACATCACAATCAACGGACTAAGTCCCAGCCACCGTCCGGCGAACAACAGCAGTAGCAGCAGCAGCAGTACAGCCACCGCGGCCAATCCCCTCAAGCTCAACACGAGTGGTGCGGCGGATAACAATAGTACCATTACCAACGCCACCACGACTGCAGGGGCTGGTGCTGGTGCAGCTGGTGGCACCACCAACGGTGGCGGCGAATTCTGGTCAGAGAATCCGCCCAGCAGCGCCTCGTCCGGGTTCAGCGACGACGACAGTCTGGCCGGACAGGAGGGTGATCCCAAGCCCATCGACCAGATTGTGCAGATGGTGAAGCAGCGCGGACGACATGGGCTGATTAAGGAGTACGCGGACATTCGGAATAGGGCCCCCGAGGGCACCTTCCTGCATGCGAGGTAAGTACTTATCTCTATATCTGATAATGGATCATCATGAACTCTTTTATAGGATGCGTGCCAATTTGACCAAGAATCGCTATACAGACGTCCTCTGCTACGATCACAGTCGAGTGGTGCTGGCACACGAAGACGGCGACGAGCCGTCAGATTACATAAATGCGAATTTTGTCGATGGCTACAAACAGAAGAATGCCTATATTTCAACTCAAGGTGAGGAAGCGGAGCTCTTAAACTAGAAACTGTAAACTAATAGAGATCGTTTTGCAGGTCCATTACCAAAGACATCCCAGGACTTTTGGCGCATGATCTGGGAGCAACATTGTTTAGTTATAGTAATGACAACGCGCGTGATGGAGCGCGGACGCGTGAAATGCGGCCAATACTGGGAGCCGACTGAAGAAAGTTCCTTAGAGTTTGGCGACTACCATGTGCGAACAATTAGCGTTGAGTGCAACGAGGACTATATGGTTGCCTCGTTGGAATTGAGAAACATAAAGGTGAATCTCTTTTAAATCAATGAAACTATAATGGGTTCCAATAAATACTTTGTACTTTCGCCCACAGACTGACGAAATTCGCAATGTCTCGCATTGGCAGTTCACCAGCTGGCCAGACTACGGCGTTCCCAGTTCGGCCATGGCCATGCTGAACTTCCTGCAGAAGGTGCGCGAAAAGCAGGCGCAGCTCGTCGCCGGACTGGGCGACACCTGGGCGGGTCATGCCCGCGGACCGCCCATTGTGGTGCACTGCAGTGCTGGCATTGGACGCACAGGTGAATGATCTTGCATGGCTAACAAATTCTTGTCAAATTCACTAACTAAACTGAATCCATAGGTACATTCATCACCCTGGACATTTGCATATCGCGCCTGGAGGACGTGGGCACGGCGGACATACGCGGCACCGTTGAGAAGATCCGGTCACAGCGCGCCTACTCCATCCAGATGCCCGATCAGTATGTGTTCTGTCACCTGGCCCTCATCGAATACGCTTATTCGCGTGGAATGCTGCAGACCGTCGATCTGGCCGGCTTCGATGAACGCGAACAGGACTCGGAGTAGACTTTCATAGTTAGTCCTGAGACGGAAAAAAGGGACGAGAAAACAACTTGTATACAGAATAATTTTATGTTTTACCATTTGCAAATTGGAGTTGTAACCATTTTTGACTAGATGTTCGTCCTGATATAATATAATATGATGATATATGGATGCGAGAGAAGCGATAGGAAGCACAGATAGATTCCGCGACACGGACGATGCGAGAGATGGGAGTGTAGAGAGTAGAGTAACCAATTTACGTTAATCTATTATTTTTTTTTTAAATATTATTACATACCAAGCTATAGTTGTATAGCAAAACATCTTATATATAAACATTATTTAAATTAAATTTAAACTAAATGAAAAACAAATAGCTAAAAATAAAGAAGAAACAAAAACAAAAACAAAAACAAAAAAACAACAAAACCAGCAGCATTAGCAAACTAGCAAGACAAGCTGACAAGCAAAAACAATGCAAATTGACAGCGAAGAGTGTTTAACCATGACAAAGTTAAAGTTAACTAACTATAGTCCGATGGATAACGGAGTACGGAGTACAACGAAGGAACATTGGGATGAGGACGAGCGGTACTGGCGCTACTGGTTGGTCGGTCACTCAAGGCAAGCAAACCAAACAAACCGTCCGGCGGTGAGTCAAAAGGTCGAAAGCGGACCCCAAGCCCCGAAGCCCGTGGAGCGGACAAATATTATGCATTTCCCCCCACTCAACCGAGTTAATCAGCTGCGATCGTAATCCTAAAAGCTACTAAGCAACTGAAGACGAAGCAGCATCAGCGGCGCAGCAGCCAACTAGTTACATAAAACTTATATAGCATATGCCTAGATCTACGAACCGCATATATATGAATATGTATAACGAATATATATATATATATATATATATACCAGAAGAAATCAGATTTAAGCACTGTTCAATGTTGTTGCATACGAAAATAGCCCAAAGGAAGAGAGTCCTCTTCGCCAGCCTGCCCTCCTGGCCGCATCTAATCCAGATGTGATCCAAACTGATACCCGAAAACCCCCACCCCCGAAACTCTCTTCGCCTCCAAGCTGTTAAATGTGTATTTTATTCTGTTGTTGTTTTTTTTTTTTACCAATTTTTTTCTAATTCTTTACAAATATTTATATATATATAGAGCGAAATTAAATGTATCGTGCAGAGAATCGTGTGTAGTAGTGAATTTTACTAAAAATTATTTTACCAACTAAACGTAAATAGTTGAAAGCGCAGAAAGCAAGTATTAAAATGGGAAAAACAAAAAAAAACACATTAGATATCTAACATGCCTTCTTTCCTACATTTTTCATATGCCAAGCGAATCTTAAACAAAATAATCGTAATGAAAAAAAAACAAAAATAAATGAAGGAAAACCAAAACATATTTTGTATTACTTTTTTAAAATAACAAAAAGATCTACATATATGAAATTATGAATCTGAATCAAGTCAAGAATGGCAGCTTTCTCGAACCGAAGTTTAACTGAATAGAAACAAAAAAACAAAAAAAAAGCGAAATAGAAATATTAATTGTAATTATGTGTATGTAATGTCGGACAGAATGCATTTTCTTCGTGCATCCCTGCGAAAGTATTATAAATATTTACATATATAATGAAATTAAGTGCATATATACTGCATACTGCGACCCAAATCTGCAAGAAAGATGAATACATGCGATGTTTTTTTTTTTTTTCATTGTCTCCTCATGTATGCATGTAAATATCTACGAAATATATATTGTATTTTTGGTGCAAATTCAAAAGTTGTGCTCCAAATACACACAAACAACACTCACACACACACACACACACACACTCTACCACTCACACGTATGTATATCATTAGAATTGTAAAAGCTGTGATCAAACCCGAATGAAAGATGCAAGTCGAAATTGGAGCCACAGGATGCTCCGCAAGCACAGCCAGTCAGACAGACAGATTGAAGTCATACTCTACAATAATATTTAATCGCAAAACAGAACCATTTTCAATTCTTTCAATGGCCTTTTCCGAGAGAAACAAAGAAACAAGAAACCTAAACAGATTGCATAATGAATACTCAACTCCCCAGATTAATGGATGCTCTATTTTTATAATGCTTAACACAGAAAGAGAGATCATAACTGCATATAATCCAAAACCAAAACGAGGAAGCAAAAATGATACCACGATGATGATGATAACTATAAATAATATTTTTTGTAGGCTCCTGGCTCGGAGTGGAGGAAAGAATTTATTTAATATATATATATATATATATATATCTATGTATTAACACATGTATGAAAATTAGCAAAATTTCTTCAAGTGTATTTGTAAAACTTAGCTAGAGTCACAAGCCTTTGTTTTCCGTTCAAACAATGTGTAAAGAATATAACTTAGTACGAGTACTCAAAATGTTGCGTGTGTCACGTTGCTTTCAGAAAGCTTTGCTGCGCACACAATATGCACCGTAAAATCGAATGAAAATTCAGTCACCAGATCGATCGATCGATCCCAGCCCACCCTTTAACCAAATCTTGACTAGAGATCTATCCATTAGCCGCTATTTCCCGCATATTAAATACTCGCATTTGTCGCACTTGGATTAATATTACCCACATACCCACTAACCAACCGGAAGACACCTCTCCACTAATCCAGTTATCGAGTAATCCAGTAATCCAGTGAACCATTTACCCAGCTCAAAACCACCACAGGGAGAGACACTGTACATACCACGCGGCAGGACGCGCGTTCGGCGAGATCCATACCCAAAACCAGGTAGATCTTAGCCTAGAGAAATGGTCGCATAATATTTAAGGGGCATTAAGTATATGTTATCATTTCATGAAGACAAACAAGAAACCAAAATACAACTTGATGTAAAAGCAAAATGCATTTTGCAGTTAAAAAAACAAATAAAAGTAACAAAAGAAAATTGTGGATAAAATATATATAGAACGAGGTCTTTTATTTTCAGAAATTTGTGGGAATTTTCTTTTTTTTTTTTTAGAATTTACAAAGAAAACGAAACCTGGATTTAAAGTTAATTAATAAACACAACTATCAGCTGTTTGCTTTTGAAGTAAAAGGCTCACATTTATTTGTTTATAATTATAGTTAATTTGTTCATAAATACACGCACAGTAATAATTCATTAAAACAATCATCAATTATCAATAAGTAGTTCAAAAAGCGTTTTATATCATTCTATCTCTGTCCCTTTCAGTGACTCCAGCTCTGTCTATCGCTCTGTCTCTCTCCATTTCTGGTTCTCCGTCTCTGTCGCTTTCCGTATCAACTAATGCCAAAAATACATGTAAATAAATCACCATTTAGTTTATCCTTTTGTTTCGTTTTCGTTTTCGCTTTCGATAAATACTAATCATAAAAACCTTTTTGTTTTTCTTTTTTTTTTTTCAATTATTTAGCTACATTTTGAATTTTGTTTGTTTGTTTGTTTTTCTTTTTCGTTAAATATAATCAATATTATCGTTAATTATATGCGCCGAAAGAACCAATAAAGCCGAAGCAACGCACTGGACCAATTTGTAATCGTTGGCAAAACAGCAGCCAATTTTTGTGTATATAATAAACCGTATAAACCCGATCGGAGCTAGGATGTGCCTTTAGCCTGTCCTGGCCAGAGCGGTCAGGCAGGCAGGTAAGCACATGAAAACTTCTATACGGACTGTTCAAGGTTGTTATCATGTAAATTCAAAAACAATTTACATACTTTTTTTTGGGATTAAAGGAGATGGGTAAATATATATATATATATATTATATATGCTATAATAACTGACATCCACAGTACGCTTATTTGGAATGCACACATCTAGGGAGTGTTCGAAATTTGAGTTGGAATTCGAGTTAAGGCTAAGACAACATTATAAGCTAGTTAAGTATTGGCGTAGAGTTGCCTCTGCTCTCTCTCTCTCTCTCTCTCTATTTTTCTTAATCTTTGGAGCCTGCTAAACTGCAAGGGGAGCAGCGTTAATTTTAGCATCGTTCATACATTTTTCTAGAGGCAGTTGGCATCGTTTCGAGTGTAAATCAGGCAGAGACGAGCGAAGGATGTTTAGGCTTAGAAGTTATCCTCCTTCTGGGTCGTGTGTGTAGATCTTAGAACTAATGACTGGCGGCGCTGGCAAGCCGTTTTGCTCTTGAGGTAACTTCCATTCGGTGAACGGCAAACGGCAAACGAAGGCGAAGGCAATTTTCCTACGAACTAATGGGATGCCATGCCTAAAGTAGCAAGTCTGTCTATGGCTAGGCTTTTCTTGTTTTTCTTTTTAAAGGGGACGGGTAACCTACGTATATAAATAACTACAGTACGATCACAAGTGTAGCAGAAGTTCTAGCAGATTGAAACACAAATTGAGGTGTCTTAAAAGGATTAGGAATTAAGATTTGGTTTTGATTTCTTCCGCCTTCTAAGAACCCAACTAATGGCTTTCAAACGACTGGGACTTCTGCAACACCTGCGACTATCTAGACTTAGGCAATTTATAAAAACTTCTAAAATCGAAATAAAGCGTTTCGGGGTGTGGGTGCAACAAAGTGAGGCTGAGGTGCAATATCACGTGCCTACTCGATGCCGAACGTGTTGGTTTCCTCGACGGCCAGCAGCAGCTTCTCGTAGAGCAGTTCGGGCGTGGGATAGGGTGGCAGGTCAAGCCGGTTGAAGCAGGTATGGGCACGGGGCAGGGCGTTTGGCTTGCCCCATTTCTCGATGCAGAATCGCCTTGGGCCTGTCGAACCGCGCAGCGCCGAGAAGCCCTCGTAGGGGATGCTCGAGGTGCCAGTCACAAACTGTAGGAGACGCAGTCGCTGCTCATTGCTAAAGCGCTCGATAACCTGCCAGAACCACACGATCACCTGATGGTTATCGTGGTAGCCCGAACGATACTCCGTGTTGAGGCGCCAATCATTCGTGTCTATCTCGGCGGTGCCTGCGATCACCAGCTCCAGTTCACGGGCATCAAAAACGGAGACGAGTCGCGAATCGACCACCTCGTAAAAGCCACGCACCAGTGACTCTGTCTGCTCTTGAACTCCACGCTCCAGCCGCCATTTTATCATGCGCTCCAGGTACTCCTTCTTGTTCTTCTCATTGACGATTATATTCTTGCCGCCCGGCTTCAGTTCGCGCTCCACCACACGGCCGAGCAGCTCCTCAGTAACGCAGAATGTCAGGCCGAGATCCACGCCAGTGCCGATGTCGTTGTCGCGTATCCACTGCAGCGACTGATGAAACTCGTTGTCCAGCGACTCCAAGTCACTGAGCGCCACAGGCAAACGCAGCAGTGCCTTGTAAAAGGGTCGCGTAAAGAAGGCGTCCAATAGATATTGATGTACAAGAGCCAATCCCAGAACACGGCCACTGAAGCGGAACCAGTCATGGCAGTTGTCCACGAACGCCGACAGAGGCGACACCTGCACCGTGTACGTGTCATTTGCTGAGTACTCGAACAGCCCGTAGTATGGGTTGAACAGCTCGCGGGAGAGCAGAAAGAAGAACTCGCGGGACGGACCGCCATAGTCCAAACCCTCCTCCGTGTCCCAGAGTACGGCAAGACGTCCGCGTTGCAGGTCCTTCTTGTTGGCGGACATGATGCGACGGAAGGCGTCCTCTAGCAAATGGCTACGACGGATGTGCAGTCTGTAAGATTTAAGAACAAATTAGTAAATATTCTTTATAGTTAGGCAAAGGAATTAAGCCAAGCTAAATACTTACTTAAGCTTGTGTGGTCCTTGGCCATAGCCCTTGGACTCCAATTTGCGATAGAAGCTGCGCAACTTGGCCTCGAAATCCCGTCGGAATGGTGGCGGCGCCCGCTGTGGCATCCGTGAGCTCAGGACTGGCGATCCCTGTGGACTGCGCTCTTCAATAGGAACATAGCTCATGATCTCCTGCTCGAACAGGCTGCGTGGGTGTTAAAGATAAAAGCGGATAATCGATTAGATAATAACTCAAATTAGTTGCACTCGCCATACAGCGATTAACTACGGGGCTGCCCATAAATCTACGGTTAGAACTCTCCGCGCTATCGATGGCGTCATTCTCGCTCCAATGGCAACCAGGCGGTGCCATTGATTGCTCATTCCCAGCTAATCCGACAATTGATTAGCCCACGCAGCAGAGCACAAGCACATCCGCCAGCCCGGAAAGGACGCTTATCCAAACATGGAGTATGGCCGTTGATAGGCGATAAATGGGATTTAGACTTTGGATTTAGACTTTGGTTTTAGTCTTATGGCAGCAGCACTGAGCGAAAAGCTAAGATCATATCCAATACTGTCAAATATTTAAAGACTAAATCTTTTAGTTACAAAAATTGATCTTCATAATATTTGAAAATTCAGTGTGCCAGCTTATTAATCTAGTTAGCAAAATGAAAAGTCATACGACTGCAGCCGGCTGATACGTCACTCGCGGCGACATATAGAACCGATTCTGGTGACGACCCATTTGCATCGAATTCAGCGGTGATGAAATCAGACCACAGATGACCAGCGCAAAAGGTCAGGAAGGCAAGTGATTTGTCATGGACATTAATATGCGCCTTATATACATTTTTTGCTCAGAACTCAAGACCCCAGTCTTTCTTCCGCCCAACGGACCTCCCACCTCAGCTTGCCACGCCCACCATTGGTGAAAAAAAAAAAAAAAAACGCAAAGACCACAAACGTTTTCTCACCGCCAGGCGGAAGAATCTCTCGATTTCCAATCAATGCAATCGATTAGGTCAAAGGCGACCTTCGTCCAAAGCCAGAACAGACTTTTCCTTCCAGCTTTTTTGTTTTGTTTTGTTTTGTTTTTTTTTTCGATCGATTGGCCCGGCCCGGTAATATTATTAACTATATTCCGATTCTAAGTAGTTAATCCATAATTTAAATTGCTATTTGGTTGCGCCTTTTGCTTTTGGCTCCAACGGCCTTCAACTTGAAATTGAAAATTGGCCAATTAATAACGCAAATTATGGCGGTCAACCGCACTCGGTGCTGGGTGGTAGGTGCTATACATTTTTCAGGGGAGTTAGGTGGGGAGTATAGGATCAGATCGGATCGAATAGTGACAACAGTTTTGGGTGCAATTATCGCCCGCTCGGAAGTGACTAATTCCCCCAATTTGAGAGCGGGAGCTGCCCCCTTCTGGGCTCAGCTCATTAGCAATCATTTTTGGCAGCTTTGTGGCAGATGGAAATGGATCAATTAATGGCTCTGCCACGTATGCTATGCTATGCCGTGTCGAATTACTTTCAAATTGAATGAAATTCTTGCAAAATTATTGGAACAACAGGAAGCTGCAATTAACGCGAATTAAACGCAAAATGAAAAGCGAACCAACCAAAAAAAATAATGAAAAAAAAGAATAAAACGCGTAATACCAAACGATTGCGGTGACACCCACTCTCGTCCAACAAAGAACCGCCGATCGTCATTGTGTGGGGCAACTGCGCGATAGGCCAGGGAGTTGGGGGCGTGGCTGGGTGGTAGGAATATCTATAAACACTTGCTGCAATCACTCTGGACTGCCGGTCACTGACTTTGACTTGCAAAGAAAGTTCATAAAATAAGTGCGGAAATGCCGAGGGTTTGGCCATGACTCTTTCAAACTCTTTCTCTGGCCTGGATCATTCCTTGATCTTTCTCAACGACTTATGCCTTGTAGATTTATCATTTGAGAATATCTAACAATATCTATGGATAGAAAAGAAACTTGTATAGCCTATACAAGCTTTCCCCAGCCTGCAAAAAGAACTCCCATTATGCGGGATCGAGGAAGCTCTCCAAGATCTTCCATATCATTCGTTTTTTTTACTACAGTACCCACTTCACTTTCCACTCTATTATCCAGTACTTCCCTTAAAGACTTCCCTTGTATGAGTTTTATCCACAATTCATAAATGCACCACCAACTTCACCCACATTGTCTGATGATTCGCTAAATATTTGGAATTAACGCGAGCTTTACGAGAGCCACTCATATGAAATATGATATGAAAGGGAAGCGCTTTTATGCTGGTCGGTACAGTAAAACATCACTTAAACATATTAGCACAAGAATCAAGAATCAAGAATCTGTGGCGACTCACGTACTTCTCCCACATGTGGAAGTTGTAGACGAACTTGGAGAAGAGACCCATTTGATGGGTTGTAAATCCCAAATGGATTCCCAATTAGCAGTACACTTAAAGCCAAAAAACCGAAAAAAAACAAAAGAAAAACAGTCAAGCGAAAACTTTGGTTAAGTCAATTCCCAATCCAACTGAAGCAGGCAGACGACTGATTTGGATTCGATTCCAAACTGCACCACCAGATGCAGTGGGGGGCAGGAACAGGGGGGGCCAAAGATATCACGATAAGCTGATAAGGTGGGCGGCGATAATGGAGCCTTAACCCGTTTAGGTTTTCGGGGGTTATGAATTCCGTAATGGTTACACATGAAACTTTTAGATAATATGATGGATATTATAATTTCTATTATTTTCAGATATATAAATAGAGTAATACAGGGTTAAGGAGATAAAGTAGAAAGGTAGATAAATTACAGGAACTTGGTTTGAAGAGTGATCATTGCCTTTGATCCGAAAACTAAAGAAGAGCTTCTTTTGATTTTCAAGAAGAATCTTTTATGAACATTTTCAAAGGAGAAGAAGAAATCCCAACCAAAACTCTTTCGAAAACGATAACATCTAGCATTTCAAAACTCTTTAAAAATTCCTGGCCAAACGAAATCTAATCCGAAATAATAAAAACAATTTCAACACAATCCCATTAGGCGATTGGGCAAGAAACAAATTGGGGGAAAAATTGATTCCTGATAAGCCATAAACTTAGTGCCCAGCGAACTAAAGTGATTGTGTAATATAAACAAGCCACTTGAGCATTTGTTTATCCTTGAGTTTTGGAGATATTGGGATTTCCCATAACGCGGCTTGCACTGCAATCGGACACTCGTTATAATAGGGTTATGAGAGGGTCTAGGTACCACCAATAGCCAACACAAACCATAACCATAATTTGTGGGAACTGTTTACTTGGCAACATTCCGTCACATTCCTGCAAACCAAGGGAACTGTCGTTGCATCCAGAACGGAACGCTACAAACGTGGGAATGCAATGGGAGCCGGCCCATGGAATCCGATCTCCACGGATAGAAAAGTGCCAGGCAGGCGGAATGGATGGCGGTAAACCAAGTCGGATGCAATTCGGTGACAGGATGTCTTGATCTCATTTTGTCTACGTTGCATTTCAGCGATCTCAGTGATCTCTTCTGGTGGGAAGTGCATGGAAAGTGGGAAACTGGGCAATAGATGAGTAAATATGATGATGATTAGATGCTTCTTGGATGACTCAAAGGCACAGTTTAGAATATTGTGAAATAACAACTTGTACTTAGCTTAGACTTATATCAATATTTGATATTAATTCAGGGATTAAAATGATCAACTTGCACTGTTTTATAGACATTATTTCTCCCAAAGGATTAATGTACATAAAAAGGGATTGATAAAATGAAAGTAAATTAAAATCATAATCAAATTAGACAATAAAATATTATAAAAAAGTATGATTGATTAAAGGAGTTCAGTGTAGCAAAAGAAGTAAAATCTAATCAAGTTCTTTAATAAAAACATTGAGTTTCCTGCTAATATCCTTACTTCTTACTTCTTCAGGATCTGGCAGGATCTTCTAAATATCCCACTATATCGAATTCCCATTAATATCAAAGCAAACACGAAAAAGGATTTCCCCTTAATGTTTCCAAAACTCCCAATATCTTAAAGTTTCCCAAAAATGTTTAAAATTAACAAAAAAAAAGAGTTCCCAAAATCAATCAGTTTGTAATCTAAGGGTACTTCACAGCCATACCGATGACCACACGACAGCAGTGTCACCAAGTCAAAAGGGGAATTTTAGGTATTTAAGATGTTTGATTAGTAAGTGATTACAAGACTACTTACACGGCCCACACGATGTAGGCAGCCTTCGATAGAAAGCCCATTTTGTTGTGCGCCTAAAGCCTTAAGCACCAAATAGTTAACCATCACTGAGAGATCACCGGAGATCGATCCTTTCGGTTAGGATATTACGCTAGCCGATAGATTGAGATAGATAGATAAGGCGCGAAACGGTTTGAAACGGTTGGCAAACGGTTAGAAACGGGACGATGTGTGCTCACGCCGCGGCTGTTGAAATGCCTCTGGTGATAGAAGCTTACTATCCGACTGACGAGCGGAACGAAGTCGCAACGGAGGCAGAAGCGGCAGCGGCGGCAGAAGCGGCCAAACGAACGGAACGGAACGAAGCCGGCGGAGTCACAGATAAACAAAAAAAAAACAAAAATATATAACAAAATAAAGTTAACAACAAGAAAGAAAAAAAAAAAACCGAAACCAAGGAGTGAGAGCTTCAAACTCTCGCTTTTCAACAGACAGAGGGTGGTGGTTTGCTCTCCGCCGATAATGCTCCTCGATCTAGTATATACTATATAGCATATGCCATATGCTACCCCAATGACCGACGATTGCAGAATGCTGGCGCTTGTCTAGCCGCCGAGCCGATAAATATGAATTTCAATTCAATTTAAGCGCGGCAAAGGAAATTATTTAATTATTCGCTGGTTTTGTTTTCGGTCGGCTTTTCGGTTTCGTTTCGTTTCGTTTCTTTTCGTATCGTTTAGTTCTGTTTTTAGTTTTCTGTTTTCTGTTTTCTGTTTTGGTATCGATTGTGTTTTGGTTTTTTCGTGCAAGGCGGCAATCGAGGCGGTGCAGCGCTGCCCCAATAACCGCCGCCGAAGACCCAACAGAATCCGACGCCGAACTTCAAGTCACAGTGGGGCAGTGACCAGGAAAAGGGATCAAGATTGGGTTACTTAAGGGCATTACTTTGGGATACTGAAAGTCAAATTTATTCACAGAACTAATCAAAATAATTCAAATGAGACTCTCAAAGAAATTGTAAGTTGGTTTACCCAAAAAACTTCAAAAAGAAAACTTCAACTTACCTACAGTAATAATTTCGAATTTTGGAATGTTTTGAAATTTTTAAAAGTTATGGAAAACATTAAAACATCATTACTTTTCTTAAACTAGAAAACTCTTTGCTGAAACTAATCCTAAGAATTATGTTTTGCCAAATCTTAAGCCCTCTGGCCCCACTGTACCGCCTGTCAGCTGTTACCGGCATGGCTTTGGGTTCGGGTTCGGGTTCGGGTTAGGGTTTGTGTTTGTGTTCGGGTTCGGATTCGGTTTTGGTGTCACTCGTCGCTGCCACCGATTGAGATTGAGTCACCCCCATGAGGAGTGCACTTCAAGCGATCGACGACAGCCCCCACCCATTCCCATTCCCATTCCCTTTCCCAATAAGCGCCTCTTATGGCCCGGCGATGGCACTCGGATGGGTGAGTGTGTGGCGTGGCATTGGTCATGGTTATAATTGTCCGCTCATCACTCCACCACAACAACCACTACCACTGCCAATCCCACTCCCTTTCCTACTGACACTGTCACCACGCCTCGCATTTAGCACGCCCCAAAACGGAAGCCAGCACAAACAGACGCCGGCCACTGTCTCCATGTCTGCCTGCTCCAATGCTCCAATGCTCCAATGCTCGAATGCCTCAATGATCCCATGTCGTTCCTCGTCTCATGTCCCAATCGAACGCATGCACGCATGCGCAGCCGCCCAAAAGCCCAATGAACTGTAAACAAGCACCAAACAACGGCAACAAATTCAGAAAGAAAAGCGAACGTTCCCTTCTACGGGTCAAATTTAAATGGCAAACAGCAGTTAACCCAACTCCACCGCCAACTTCCTGCTCCGAAAATATCATATTAGTATAGTTCGAATGCTCTAACAACTTCGATTGGGAAACTATTTTTAGTTAAATTATAAAAAACGAACGCTTAATCTGTGCCTAAAGTAGTACTTAATGGCTCTAAAGGTATCACTTTTGAGATACTTTTGAAATATTCTCTTTGAGATGATAAATTATATTATATATATTTCAAATATCTTTTAAAATCTAATGGAATATATTTCCATATCGCCTAAGAAACTAAACATACCCCAAGAAAGAGCAATGAAAGTTCAACCGAAAACTTGTCAATGCCTCGACGACAGCGACGAAGTTCAACGATGACGATCACTGCGAGGCTACGAGGGTGCCGATGATAATGATGATAATACTTGCTGATGACGATGGCGATGACGACTATGCCACACCCCCGCCTCAAAGGAGACGCCGTCGGAGTGGCTATTGTTGCATAGCCCCAGCTACTACTACTACTACTACTACTATTCCCTGGTTCCCCGTTTGGCTAATAATTTATGCTTCATTCGGAATTGGGTTAAATTGTGTGCGAGGGGGGCGAGGGGAAATTAGCGGATTAGTGCTTGGAGTGCCATATTTATGGGGCAGCTGGCTTAGGGCGTTGCCCTGCCCATTGGGGCAGTGGGCGTGGCTGTTCCAAATGGCCGCGCCAAAGCCGGAATGCCCCCTCACATCCAGGCAGTAAACCCAAGATCGCTCAATAAATACCATCTATAATGCCATGCAGTTATTTATATATTTTCAGGTAATTGACCAACCAATAAAAGCATTTAGCCAACTGGCGAAATGTGTGGTTAACTAGTAAGCGCGTATTAGTAGACTCTTAGTCGGCTTATTAATTGCGCAATCAGGCGCAATGCCTAATGGGAGGCTACCGCCCCCGAACATGTATGACTAATGGCCAAGTGCAGATTATCTGGGCTGCAGCTTCTAAGATCCAAGTTGTTGTGCAATAGAAGTTTTTCTGTGTGAGTATGTATGGGTTTGTGCTTTCCCAATGCTATTGGTTTTGTAAATATTTTCCCTAACAAGCTTGTTAACTGCTATACTTAACGATGCAATATATTTCATGGGATATGGGATGCCCGACAGATTGAGCTTCTTGTTCTTAGCAGAAACTGCTTTTAGGTCTTAACGGCAAACGACTTTCCATTCAAACTTCTATTACTGAGACTGAGTTTTCTGGTTTTAAAACAGGATTCCATCTACTAAATAACATTACTAATTCATATTTCCCATCAAACAAGCATAAAACTATGGCGAAAACTCCCACGGCTCATTTTCTGAGTGTGCCAACGAAGCGCGACAATTTGGCTAATTGAAATGCAATTAAATGGCTCAATCAAAATTGGTATTGGAATCGGAATTGTTGGTGGCCACTGCGGAGTAATCGACAAGTTGCGAGCTTGAGAGGCGCCGACATAATCTCTCGACTTCATTTTCCATTTTGTTGCCGCCGAGATTGGGATTAAGATTAAGGTCAGCAGCAGTGCATGTGGATGCCGGTCAATTGGCGGCGGACTGCAGCCTGCAGTTCCTCAATTTTTGTGGTCAAAACGGGCCGATAAATGTACTTTGGACGAAATACGGTCAATTAGACAATAAGCAATGAGATTAGAAGCCAAGACGAAGTGCCTAGCCTTGCCGTGGGTAGTTGGTTAGTCCGTTTGCTTTGTTGGACGTGTTTGGCGTTTTGGAAAATTAGCCAACAACCTTCGAAACTGTTTTCAAAAGCAATTAAACCCACTCGCACACTCATATGCGGATCACTCAAGCAGGACCGCCGCCAAAATCGATTTAAGCCAACAACAGTACCAGCTCTTAATCAGAGCCAAAGCCAAAGCCGAAGCCAAAGCCGAAACCAATACAAGCCCAAGTGCACTGAACTAATCCGAACCAAGAAAATGACGCACCAATGCAATTTCAGGCCAGGTGGATTCGGCCTGGCTCTGGGACCTTCGTCAAGTGCAGGTGGAGCTATTGACTGACGGCCACTGGTGCGTCATATGAGCGGGACCTATTGCGAGGGGCTCATTAGCGCAGTTTGGCAGCTCTGATGGTCTCCAGTTGTCTGGCAAGTGAAACAACCACGATCACAAGCTAAACACAATGATTCTAAGAGTTAAGGAACGCCGTCTTAGATGGGCAAAGAAGTGTCGAAAATAAAACTATTATTAACTATATTATAAGTTATAAGAATCTTTCCTACCTATCTGTTGATCATTTTTAAAAACTAGACAGGAACACTCACCTCAGCAAAATTGTCAGTTGTAGGTCATGGCCCAATCTCTCGAGAGCTGGAACACCCTCCACTCGGAGTATATTGATTTTTTCACGAAGCGGCCGGGACATTGTGTGCTGGCCCTGGCGCTCTCGCAAGATCTCCAGGATGTTCGGCTGGCGCAGGAAGGCAATGACCTTAAAGGTGAGACAGAAAATCAATTAAATTAAAAGTCAACTCTCTTGAAAATATCTTATTACGGCAAGGAAATGACAGATGTTGGGGATGGGATGCTCACCTTCTCGTTGTAGGCAATGGGAACATCTTCGTATCCGGCTGCAGTCGCCCCTGCTCCTGTTATTCCAACGGCACCATATGCTGATCGGTCTGCGTTAAGACCACAGGCGATGACTGCCGTTGTGGTGCAGTTGTGACCATGTCCATGACTACCCCTGGACGAGGATGACGACGACGGCCTCGGCGGAGGCAAGGGCGGCACTCCAGACACAGAGGTTCCAGGACTGGCGCTAATATGACCACTGGTGGCCGAAAGGCAGTTGCCATCCACCAGATCTGGGTAGTAGTAGCCCATACCTGGCTGTTGCTGCGTATGTTGCTGGCGATGGCGCACCACACGTGGACACTCCACCGGCAGACGAGGATCCATGAATGAGGTGCGGCGGTGTTGGTGGTCAATAAAGAACTGTTTGCCCGATTGATCCAACTTGGTCTCCCAGCAGGAGGGCAATTCCCTACCCATCTGGGCAAAAGTGTTAACCAGCGCTACCAGATCCTTATTATACTGATACCGCTGGAAACACTGTGGATCCCTTCGGATGCGCATGACCATGTGCTTAAGCGCGGCATTCCGGTTGTAGATGGCCAAAGCAGCTTCGTTGGTATGCAGCAGGGAATAGAAATCCGGACGGCAGAGCATCAGAATTGCAGGATGGATAGCCGAGGCAGGTGGAGGAACAGCTGCAGCTGCGGCGTTGCCGTTGCTATTGGCAGAGGGTGGTAGATTGTAAAGTTGCGCAGCTCTACTCTCATTTGTAATGGTGCGGCGGATACTCTGATACCGTCTATCCAGCTGCTGGCGATGGTGTTGCTCCCTTCCTGCTGGCCCACCACTCGGTGCCGCTCCTGGCCGTTGCCAGGAGGTCGTTCGCGTTGTGTGATCGATGTAAAAGATCCGCCCGTGGCTATCCATGCGCGCCTCCCAAGCGGGTGGAAGTGGTGGCTCTCCCGCAGCTCCAGCTCCGCAAGATCCGGACACTGTACCCGATCCGGGTTCCAAAATAGCCGCACCAGTTGATGCTGCCGCCGCCGCTGCCGCTGCTGCTGCAGCAGCACTGCGTTCCGGAATGGAGGGCAAGCGGGTACTGCTAATGTGCACCACTTCGTCTGTCGGCTCCGGACCCTGCTCTTGGCTACCATCCTGCAGGTAGATGTAGTCCAATTGACTAGAGGCTGCTGGGGGATCCGATGGGATCCCTCCTACGCTGGCGAGGCTGGAGTTGGCAGTGACGGCTTGGAGGCGGGCATGCCGTCGGGCATGGTGAGTAGGTGTGGGTGGACATACCAATGGTGACGCAATAACCCCTCCTGTTGTACTAGCTCCGGCTCCACCGCCCACACGTTTGAGGAGTCGTTGTTGAGGTCGCTGGCCATGAAATGTTGGTGTTCCTGGCGGCACCACCTCTTGAAGAGCTCCACCTACTCCCCTGCCTCTGGTAGGCGAGTGCTGTTCCGGACTTAAGCTAAGATCCAGGGGAGAGGCACTGCGCGTAGAGCAGCCCGAGGGAGGACTCCTCGGACGTTTTGGTGAGAGTAGCAGACGTGGAGAGGATTGCTCCTCCGATGATCCAGCCTTGCCATTGGAAAGGGCACGGGTGAGCGGACGATGCTGACGCAGATACGGAAATTGGAGACTGTTGGGCGACGCGGACGATGGCCCAACATTCGAGGAGCTTGGGAAGGTTGGGAACTCATAGCTCTGGTGGACCGGCACCTTTTGTGTGCTAATGGTGTTGATGTAGCTATCGGGTCCGATCTTTTTTTTAAGCAGGGGCTTAAACCGCATGGGTGGTGTAGCCAGGGGAGAGTTGTTGGAACTTCCACTACCCTGGGCCATTTCCTCGGCCAGTCGCTCATCCGTGTCCAGTATGTCGAACTGGAAGACATCGCCCTGAAGTTTAAGATCCCGACCAACGGCTCGAGGTGGCCAAGAGCGTTCCAGCGGACGATGTTGTGGCGGCGAGGGCTGTCGCAAATGATGATGTTGCTGTTGCTTCTGTTGCTGCTGTTGACGGCGCTGAACATGGGCACTGGCTTGGAGAGCAGCTGCGGCTCCTAGAAGACTTTCAACGGCAGCCGCCTCCTCGTCCTCCTCCTCCTCGACCTCTTCATCAACTTCAGCCATGCTTAGAGTATCCACCATCTCAGCGGGAACGGTTTCGAAGCACTCACGTGCCACCCACAGATTAAAGCCATCTCCGTTTGCGTTCGACAATGTGCTGGCCGGTGCACCCGCCTTGGTCTTCTTCTTGGCTCCACTGAGAGGTGTGGAGCCGCCGCTTTGAGGCGACAGTGTCCAGGATTTCCGACGAGCGCCACCGCCTACGCTACTGCCCCCATCGCTACCAATGCTGCCATTATAAGAATTTGTAGGCGAGAGTGTGGAATTGTTGGCAGGCGTCTCGCAGGACTTGGTGGAAAGCAGGGTCTGATGGCAGGGTTCCCTGGGCTCCTTGGACTCTGGGGTTTTTTCTTCTTTGGGCGCTGTAAATAAGGTATAAAACGTCAGTGGATGGGTTAACTCGATTATCCTAAGATGCTTACATTCATCACATAAATGTGCCATCGCGCAAGCCCCCAGCTTTTGTGGATCCTCGACGTCTTGGTTTCCAGATACCAAAGGTATATCGTGGTCCTCAACCTCGCTAACACTAACCTGAACATCGTTGGTCAAAGTCAGAGCACTCTGGAAAGCCTGTTCCAGTTCATCGCTTTCGTTGCCGTTGCGCGCCTCATAGAAGGCCTCCTCCTCCTTGGGTTCATCCTCATCGTCGTCTTCCTCTCCTCCCTCTTCTTCCTCTTCCTCGCCACCGACCTGCGACCTGACAGTAATGGGATCCACTGGGTTCCTATCCGCCAGGCATGACGACGATGCTGGCATGGGCTTTAGGACCACCGGAGTAGATGGTAGCTCCATTGCGTTCGGCTCCGGAATTCAAGATGTGCTCTTCTTCTTCCTCTTAGCGTCCCCACCTCTCTTACTCTTCCCCTCGTCCACTACCACTGCTACCCTGCCAAGGGTTAACAGTTACAGTTGCAGTTGCTCTAGTTTGGCGTTTTGACGTTTGCTGCCTTTCGACCCGCGCATTTCGTGGCCGCCTGCCATTAGTCCGGATCTTTGCCGTGCTGTGCTCACTGCCCGTCGGGGCTGTTGCTTTCGTTTATCAATTGTTAATCAAAGTCACAAAGCTAAAATATAGTTTTACGCAGAACCAGTGTGACCGAATGGCAATGGTCCAATTACACAGAGCAATGCAACGGTAACACTGTCCGATAGAATGGCCACTTTTGCGAGAAATTCTACATCTGGCAGCCCTGGTTGTGTACTTTTTACTTTGTGGCGCTTCACATTCGCAATTCGTTTGGTTTCCGCCGCTTTTGAAACCCCGGACTAGCCAGCGAGCAACGTAACCGAAACGTATCAGCATGGCCGCTGCAAGTGGAGAACTGTCCAAGAAGTAAGTGCCTAGGCCATCAAATTCGACCCAAAGACCATCCGGCCAACGTAGCAGCCTTTTGAGGTTAAGGCGAAGCCGCAACGTTCCAGTTTTTTTTTTTTTGTTATTGGCCGCTGATGAAATACCGTGCTTAAAATAACAATGCTCGCCCGCTGCGTCCTTAAAGTAGTGCAGGAGGCGTGGCCCAGACCCAGCAAGATTTGGGTCCCGGCCATCGGCTTCCACGTGAGCGGCTGCCAATTGCAGCCTAGCAAACAAACCAAACTGTGGGTAATCCGACCCATCGGACTGGCTGTCATAACAAGGACAGGAAACTTTTCTGATTGCCCAAGTTATAACAGTCTTCACTTCCATTTTACGTCTATCTACATAAGTTTATTAATCTATTAAATATCTTTGTTTGCAGTGAACTTAAGCGTCGCCTAAAGGCCGAACAAAAGGCCAAGGAAAAGGCAGAGAAGGCAGCCGCTGCTCCTGCAGAAGGAACCGCCGGTAAGAAGAAGAGCAGCGCCGCCGAAGAGGAGGAAATCTCGCCCAACGAGTATTTTAAGATCCGATCCGCCGCCGTTCAGGAACTTAAGCGTTCACCCAGCACGCATCCCTATCCACATAAGTTCCATGTGAGCATCTCCCTGGAAGATTTCATCTCCAAGTACGAGAACAGTCTAAAGGAGGGCGACACTTTGGAGAATGTGAGCCTGAGCGTGGCCGGCCGTGTTCATGCAATCCGCGAGTCGGGGGCGAAGCTCATTTTCTACGATCTGCGTGGCGAAGGAGTCAAGGTGCAAGTGATGGCTAGCGCCAAGTCCTACAAATCGGAGGCAGACTTTGAAACGGATACTGCCAAGCTGCGGCGCGGCGATATTATCGGCGTCATCGGACATCCCGGCAAGACTAAGAAGGGCGAGTTGTCTGTGATGCCCACTGAGATTAAACTGCTGTCGCCCTGCCTGCACATGCTGCCTCATCTGCATTTTGGCCTTAAGGACAAGGAGACACGCTACCGTCAGCGTTACCTTGATCTCATTCTGAACAACAAAGTGCGCGAAAACTTCCAAGTCCGCGCCAAGGTAAGAATCAGCAGTGTAATATTACTACCGAGGTTCATACTACAGTACACCTTTCTCGCATTTTTCTTAGATTATCTCGTACGTTCGCCAGTTTTTGGATCGCCTCGGTTTCCTGGAGATCGAGACACCAATGATGAACATGATCGCGGGTGGAGCCACTGCCAAACCCTTCGTAACGCATCACAACGACCTAAAGATGGACCTGTTTATGCGCATAGCTCCGGAGCTGTACCACAAGATGCTGGTGGTAGGTGGTCTTGATCGCGTCTACGAAATCGGACGGCAGTTCCGTAACGAGGGCATCGACCTTACTCACAATCCAGAATTTACCACGTGCGAGTTCTATATGGCGTATGCCGACTACGCCGACATTATGGACATCACCGAACAATTAGTCTCTGGAATGGTGAAGGCCATTCGTGGATCCTATAAGGTCATCTATCACCCGGACGGTCCGGAGGGACCCGAGCAAGAACTTGACTTTACGCCACCCTTTAAGCGCGTGTCCATGATCAAAACGTTGGAGGAAAAGCTACAAGTTAAGTTCCCTGCGGCCGATACATTCAATACGCCAGAGACGAATCAGTTCCTGTCCCAGCTATGCACCAAGCACCAGGTTGAGTGCCCCGCACCTCGCACCACCGCTCGATTGCTGGACAAGCTCGTGGGCGAGTTTATAGAAGAGTTCTGCGTAAATCCCACGTTCATCTGCGAGCACCCGCAGATAATGTCTCCATTGGCCAAATATCATCGCAGTATTCCCGGTCTGACTGAGCGCTTCGAGCTCTTCGTGGCCAAGAAGGAGATCTGCAACGCCTACACCGAGTTAAACGATCCTGTAGTTCAGCGGGAGCGCTTTGAGCAACAGGCCAGTGATAAAGCGGCTGGAGATGACGAGGCCCAATTGGTTGACGAGAACTTCTGCACGTCCTTGGAATATGGACTGCCGCCCACTGGCGGCTTCGGTATGGGCATCGATCGGCTGGCTATGTTCCTTACGGACTCCAATAACATTAAAGTGAGTTCCTTGGTGGTAATTTGAAATCATTGTTAAATCAAAATTAACTTTTAGGAGGTTCTACTGTTCCCCGCAATGAAGCCAGAAGAGGCCAACCGCACTGCAGCAGAAACTGCTCCCGCCACCGCTGCCACCCAACAGTAGAGGTCTTCGGATCACTCAACTCAATCCTGATTCTTGTACGTTACGCTCGTCACGGGCTAGTCCCAGTTGCTAAGTTATTCAACGAATAAAACTTTTTTCCAATATGTGAAACATGAGTAATTTTGTTGTTTCAATTACTGGCCGATTTCGAATGCTCGCTACTGCAGTTGTCAAAACCACTGCCTGCATTTTCGGTTTTATAAATTCTTTCTGACAACTAGTTAACCTTAAGTTAAATACGACAGCAAGACAGCCCAGAGCACCCATATAGCAGACTGCTTTGCAAGTCCGATGGCCGAAAGAATTCCGTTATTCTTAATTAGTAATAACATTTTATTAATTTTATACTTTAAATCTATTCATTCATATAAAAACTATAATCATAACAATTATTTCATAGCCATAAATTACTAAAGTTACGACTAAAGACTAATATTATAGCTTATATTGTTAGCATATGTAGACATTTTTCGATTTTTGGATTTTTTGGAATTGTTTATTCTTTGATATAAGGCATGTATTGGAAGAGATTATTCAACACCAACATATAAAACAGTCCGTTAGGAAGATCTATTTTGTGAGCATTATATGAGTTCCAGGTTTCAGTCTTTAATAGTCTTTAATTAACATTTCCAGTTCAAAGTATTAAACCGTTTATGGATATTCCAAAAAGTGTTACTGTTATGGCATTAAATACTGCGAAATAGTTAACAGGCAATAAGTCAACAAAATTATTTATATACAAATCGCTTGCTATTGACATTAGGGCTCGGAGTGCTTCGGTATGGTTTTCATTTCGTTTGTCCGGGCAAAATATTTTATTATAGTGTGAATGACAAGGGAATGATATTACAAATATGTAGAAAACATGGTTAGTTATTAGCATTAAGAAGTTCGAAAACGGTGGTAAATAGTTCCACCGGTAAAATGCGAAAACGATTACAAGAAAAACCACCAGAGTAGATAGTACAGCACGTATAAGGATGGCACTTCGATTAATGGTATTAAGGCACGGTATCAAAAACACAAATTGAGTCGTCATCATTAAAATGAACTTGTTAAAATTGTTATTCACAATGTATTTTAGTGTAGTGAAGATGGAAAATATAATGTATAACATATATAGGAGAATAAGTTCCCTTAACAACCAATTAGGAGTTATTCGATTGTCCTTCTTTTCTTCTTTCTTCTTTCTTTTGTCCTTTTTTTTCTTTGTCTTTATCATAGAAATATTTTCTCTCAACTCATTCAAAGAATGTACAAGCAAATACATTAAGTAAAGGGGTACTATAATTGTTAAAATTTTTAAGCGAAATATTTCATCCACTGGCATAATACGACTCAACATTTTATTTACCCCACATTGTTGGTCCATTAGGGCTGACGTTAGGTAATAGCCAGTAAGTTCACCAAACTTACTGTAAGCTAAATTGTCCGCCCTTAGAATGACAAGAGAAATAAGCACATACATCAAAAAATGTAAAAGTGAATGTACATCTTGGCTTAACTTCAAATGTAAGTAAAGTGTATAACTTAAACCGAGCCCGATCAAGCACACCACAGATATAGCGCAAACATTGAGTTTGAAGAAGAGCTTCCCAAGCCATTTAATATGAAACATCCAGGGCAATAAATTCCTAACTGGTGTCTTGTAGCTAAATTCTTCATAGCTTGACATCTTGAAGTACAACTGACACATACCGGCGACAATGCCTATTGGCACGGACAACAAAATGGTCTTTATTTTCCATTTGGACGTGGTAGGACTTGCAGAAGAATCCGTTTGTGTTACCGAAGGTACCTAGAGGATAAGTAACAGAAAAAATTAGTTTAGTTAGCTTAAAACGAGCTTAAAAATCAAATTTAAAAATGAGATAGTATTTTATTACATTTTCATAGATAGTAAATAGTAACCCGAAGCTTGCTTCGAAGTACAGTTCAAAAAAGAATTACCGTTGAATTCAGAAATATAAATCAAGTATGAGAAGTGTACGAATATTTGTGCGTAAAAAAATGATCTATTATTTAAGTTAAAACTTGTTAATTTTATGTTCAAAGTATATTCTCGAAATGTATATCTTTCATTTGAGATATTTCATTTTAATGTCTGTTACGTATTTGATATTGAGATTATTAAGGAATAAACTTGGAACTCATGGGTATATGAATGTATTTCATATGAGCCGACTGTATTTAAAAGGTAGATGGAAGCGTTTCCGACTCTACAACCCTTGGGGGTTTCCCCAAAACGAGTGGGATAATACCAAAACCAAGATCACTATCACAATAATAAAAAAAATAAACGAAAGCAACAATTGGGTATACATACATTTCCTACTTTCACACACACACACACACACAGCAAGCACTTGTAAATTTTTTTGTAACTTACGTGCATTCTTTTGAATTTTTTTTTCGCGACAGGTCACGACGAGGTGAATTTTATATTAGTTCTGAGTCGTCTGTCGTCGTCTCCTGTAAGGTGCGACGAAAACAATTGCGTTTCGGAACAAATTTTATCATCTTCTTCTTCTTCTGTTCCAAAACAACGATCGATAATAAAAAAATATCAACTTGAATCGAAAATAATCGATTTCCAAAAAGTAGTATTGTTTACGGCACTATTAGCCAACGGAATTAGATTTTTTTTCTCGTTTCTAAAGTCAGTATATTCCCATTTATGGACTGCGGTCACATTGGCTAAAAAAAATAAAAACATAGCGGACGGTAAATCGGCGAAATTGTTAATTAAACCTTAATCGGAGGATGGGCGACCAACAACAGCTAATCCTGGCCACCGGGGGGTACGACCACACAATAAAGGTGTGGCAGGCACACACGGGAAATTGTATAAAGACAATGCGATTCGTAGAAACTTCGGTAGGATTTGTGGTATTTAGCCAAAAACCTGATGTACAACATTCATACATATTTAATCTTCCAGCAAGTCAATGCCCTGGACAGGACGCCGGACAAGACGCGTCTGGCAGCTTGTGGTTACCAGTGCATCCGACTGTATGACCTGGAGTCCAACTGCACCGCACCGGTGATCAATTTCGACGGTGTGCAGAAGAATGTGACACGCCTGGGCTTTCAGGAAGATGGCAACTGGATGTTCACCGCCGGGGAGGATCACCATGTGCGAATCTGGGACATGATCTCCGCTCCACCACACTGTTCGAGGGTTTTCGACTGCGAGGCTCCTGTAAATGCGGCCTGTTTGCATCCTAACCAGGTAGAGATCGCCATGGGCTCACAAAATGGCAGCGTTTTTCTATGGGACGTTAAGTCTGAGCGACACGAAAGGATTGTTCCCGAGGTGGATGCATCTATTCAGGACGTGGCCATTTCACCAGATGGGAGATATTTGGCGGCTGCCAATAACAGAGGCAAGTGCTATATCTGGTCGCTGACCAGTCAGGACCAAAAGATGAGTACATTGAGGCCAATCAAGAAGTTCAAGGCGCACTCTCGGTACATCCTGCGCTGCAAATTCAGTCCAGACTCCAGGCTCCTTCTCACGACTTCAGGTGACGGAACGGTGCGCATTTGGAACACGGATGATTTCACCAAATGGCTAGAACTGGGTATCGAAAACTATTGGGTATGGGATGCCGCCTTTAGTGCCGATTCCAAGTGGCTCTTTACCGCCTCCTCTGACGGTATTGCTCGGCTGTGGAAGCTGCAGACTAAGAGTCCCTTCAGGGATTATACCGGTCACACCAAGGCCATCACTGCCCTTTCCTTCAAGGATGAAATCTTGGGCCCATAGTAATACCTAGTCGCTAGAATTTAGCCAATTTGTAAGCTTTGTGACCATTGTGTCACTATCGATAGTTCTTCTGATTTGATTTCCTTCTCGATTTGAAGGTGTTTTTTCAAGGGCAGCAAAAACTATTGAAGATTTACCATAAGTCCTTTTTATACTGAACTTAAATCAATATACTACTGTATATTAATTGGACAACTAAATTCGCACTAATTTAATGTAAATTTTAAGCGGGAATAATGAAAACAGTGTCTACAAAATGAATTGCATTTATATGATAAAAAGGCTAGCTTTCTGCTTTAATGTTCATTAAGCTTCTGGAGTTTTAACCTCCATTCAGTTGCAGCTGAGCTCTAGAAGTTTTGATAGTACTTTGATTACATTACTAAAATTAATTTATTGAGAGAGGTCAGATATGCTAAATATATTACTTTTATTCAAACAGTCTTAAAATTTCAAATTTGCTATACTGTTAAAACAAAAACTGCCAGAAATGCTGATAAAATGGTTCAATAACTTTCCATAATCGAATTTAAGGTATAAATTTGTTTCCACGAAAGTCGAAAAGTGGGTCAAGTACACAGAATCATAAATGGAGATATTTTAAGCAGACAAATCCTAAGGAACATATTACAGAAAGGTGCTGGCAAATCAAGAGGATGCAGTTAAATGTAGGAATAGTAGCGATGACTGCATATAGGCAACACACAAACCAGAACTGAAGCAGCATCATCAACAAGAAGCCCCACAATTTAATAGAGAAATTAGAATACCTCTGAAAATGAGCGCTTGGATTTTGTAGCGACTTTTTCGTAATTTATAAACTTTTGATACATCATTATATTACGACTAAACGTGTGTATGCAAAATGCAATTTGAATAAAATCTTACTGGCATAAATATACATAGAATACATAAATCAAAAACCAACTTTATCTTTTAGACAGAGGTAAGATGATGGGAGCAACACATAAGTGGAAAATTGACTTTTTAGCTTGGGTTTGCTTTTTTTGATGGGTTTTAAGTGGACGGGAGCGGAGTAAGCTGGCGTCTGGTGGTTCTAGTCCACGTAGTCGATGCCCTGGGCCACAATCGATTCTTTGATGGGGTCTGGATCGTCGCCCAGTTTGTAGCCCACAATGCAGGTAACGTCCACAGCTTTGCCAGTGGGATTTAGGAGAAGCATAACCTGGTTGATGGGCGTAGCCGGGCGAAAGGGTTTGTGGGGCGGCATATGGCTGTCAGTCGGAGGCAGCAATCGCACTTTGCATGGCTAAAAGAAAAGATAGTTAGTTCTTCTCATTGCTCTCCTCTCTTTCACCTGTTTCCCCTACCTTCTTCACACTGGCCTCGAACTGAAAGTCATGAACTGGTTGCCGACTCTTGTTCTGAGCCGATATCACAATGACCGATACACGATGGCCGGGCCGATCGCTGGTGAAGTTCAGACTGAGCTGCATGTCATCGTCGTCAAGGACGATACGCTGCTCGCCGGTGGCCTGAATATTGTCCAGTTCCACGTGAATTTCGCTAAGCGGCTTAGCCGGAGGAACAACCGGAGCCACTGAACCTGCCAGGGCTTCGTCGGTTTTATCTACATCTTCGCTGAGCAGAGGTTCATCATCTATGGGATCAGTAGAAGCAGCAGCTGGAGCAGGAGTAGGAGCGGGTGCTGCCGCGAGCTCCTCTGGTGTCTTAACCTGTATCCTTTCCCGGGCCAAGTCGTTCAGCGTGAGCTTTTCGGGATCCCGCTTAAAGCTGGCCATCCGATCCTGAGAGGGCAGAATCTGCTGGAAGAGCTCTTCGCTAAGCATATCGATTTGCGGCATCTTTCTGGCCGTTCCCGGTATTTTGCTGGAGTCTCCACCATTGCCATTGGCAAATCCCTCGCTTACAGGGCCTTGGCTTAACACCTGCGGTTCTAGCAAAGTGGTCGAATTTTGGAATGATGGGTTCTTTTTGGCTTCGCTTTCGGCTAGTGCGCTGCTAAATATGTCACTTAAATCGGCGAGCGGATCCCCTCCGGTTGCCGTGGAATTGGAATTACTGGTGCCGGTATTTGGTGTATTGGTGGTAGCCTCAGCACTTACGTTGGTCCCACTGATTAGCAAATCCCCAAGGAGTTCATTTAGCAGCAGTGCATTATTGGAGCTCGAAGCTGTGGTCGAATTGAATGTGGACTTTGCAGTGGATGTCGATGTTAAAGAACTCGTCGTCAGAGTAGGAGCAGTGCTTTTCGTGGGCGAGGGCACTAATAGCTTGTAGCGTTGCATGGTTGTCAGTAGAGCGCAATTAGCATCCAATGTGTCAGCTGTGAATGGATATGAATCTGGTTAATGATGTTACGCCCTTCGTTATATCTACGATGAACTATCAAAGATATGAAAATGATTTCCATGGGACACAAGAATAAGCTATATCATATCTCCTAATCTATTTTAAATGGCTTTGGAAGTGATTCTGTTTTTAAAATTATGTTCTGATAAATAAATGAAGATGTATACAAATTATTACTTTAACTTTTTTTTAAAAATGTAATCCTCTCGAGAAGTACCACACCCACCTACAAGCTGGGCATCGGAGTCGTCGAGCAGCTGCGGCAAATGTTGAAAAATTGGCTTGTGCTTTTTGCAGCTCTTGTAGAGCTCGTGCAGTGTCTCGCTGACATCCTGGTTGGAGGGGTCGTAGGTGTCTAGCATCTGATTAAGCAATTGCATTGTCTCCTGCACTTCGCTAAGTACAAGGCGGTGCTGAGCCAGCAGATCGTTACGTCGCGCCTCCTGCGCCATCCGATATTGCAGAAGGAGATTGGCCCGTTTGAAGTTTTCCGGATTATTGCTTTTGACGAGCTTGGCGAACATAGCCTCGTCGATGGTGCCCAGAACACTCTCCCTTTTGGCAACTGCCGCCTCCGTTGTGCCGTGTTCAATATCCCCCTCCTTCCGAAGCATATCGTAGGCATCGCGGATCTTCTGGCGCTGTGGAAACTCCGTGGTCCACAGGAGGAGGCATTCCATGATCCGTTGTTTAACCTCGTGCGGCGTTTCGGCGCCCTTGTACTTTTTGGACACCAAGCGTATCAGTTCGTTAAGGAAGCGAAACTTAGACGCTTCGTCCTGGAAGTCGTCGCCACACTGCGTCATGCACTCTTCGAGCAGCTGAAAATAGTTGATTAAGTTAACTATGAATTAATGATTGAGTTTATATATAGTATAGGTTTATCGGCGTGGTTAAAAATTAATTAAATAATTGAATTTTACATTTAAACGGCAACACCTTTATCAATTTGTAGAAGTGTTATATAGGGATGTTTCAAATTAATATTATCAATCAATTTAACCGAATTACAAATCTAAAATCAAGAAAATTTTAAAATAAAATGTTTTCTTTTTATCATTGGTTAGGCACTAAAAGAAAGTTTATAATGTTGTGTTATCAATGATATGTACTTCATGACTAAACTTATATAAACACTTTTAACACCTATTGCATTTTATATTTGTTCACAAAAATAAAAAAAAAAAGTTTGATAGCGCAATGGAAGAAAATGTTAAGCTAACAATATTGTAAAATGAAAATAGCCCTATCTGTTTTTGTTAGCTGCTTTGTTTCTAGTTGGTAATACATACGCACATTTTGGCCACAACTGATAACAGTCACTATTGCAAATTGAACGCAGCCACACAAGTGCGTGTGTTTTTTTTTTTGCATTTGTATGCCTTTTGACAGCTTTACACCCTACAGTGCGTCGGTGTGCGCCGGTGTTTCTGTGTGTGCGTTCGTTTCAGTGGGCAAAATTTTTTCCACACACACACCCCTTCACCGTTAGCCATCGACAGTGGGCGTACGCAGGGGTAATTTCAAGAAAATGCGACAAAACAAAATGAGAATTAGTCAAATCATTTACCGAAATCGCTCGCGTTGCCTCCGTAACGTTGGAAGATCGCACCTTGGCCACAATCATTTCTTGCGCCTTGTGGACTAACTGAGCATTGCTTTTGACCACAATGCAGAACATTTGCACGCCCAGTTCGTCGATTTTCTTTGCCGGATTTGTTGCTCTTTCTAGGCAGGCGAAAGGGGTGATGAGAAATGTAAAAAAAAAGCTCTGAATTTAATGGTTTCCTTGTGTCGGATTGTGGAAGTAACTTACCCAGCATCTCCTCCATTATGCTCTCGTCGGTTGTCATTACGCGGCCGATCGTTGGGCTCCGTTATTAACTGGGGGATAAACAATATTTGCGGTGATTTCTGACATATTGTTGTTGCTGCTAGAGCTGGAATTGAATTCGATGTTTACACGATACTATCGATTTTAGAAAAGCTTTCGATGATTTGCTGTTATCGTCTGCCAGTGGGACCGACGTTTTTACCGTTAAGTATACCAAAAAATACCATGCATATGGGCTCTATGGTGCATGTCGTATTATAGTAGCGATGCCACTATATTTGGATCAAACGTTGCCATTTCGGATTTCTTTTACTGGCCGTTGATTTTTGAGGCTCATTAAAAAACTTAAACAAACTGAAGCATTGTTAACAGCTATTTTAAATTTTTTTGGGCGTTCATTTCGATGGATGATGACAAAACTGAAGAAACAGTTCTGTTGGACAGCGCGAAAACGGATTTCAATACATATATTATATTTTAAACATATATGTACATATGTACATATGTATGTATGTATGGATATCCTTTACTACTTTAAAATTGCAATTTGTGTAACATTAACATTGCAAACACAATTCCTGCTTATGTAAGCACATGCAAACACGTGGGGTATCTGTGTGTGCGTAGGCAGCAACCTGTGGCCATTTCACCTTAAGTTAACCTTTCGACAGGACATCGCGCAGGCGTCTGAAATCGGCTGGCTATAATTAGAAGCACTTGCATCATCATCTCGACGGGGAATCGGAATTGTTGCTCCAAACGTTTCACGTGGTGGTGGGGTCATATTGTGTTCATACCCTATAATCGTGGTCTTGAATGGGTATATTTTGCAATATAATTATAATATATAATATAATTAAATTATCTAAAAATGTCCTTAAATGAGAATTACTATAATAGATGAAGCGTTGGGCTGTTCCTCTTCTCCTTCTGAAAAAGATAAGATACAATGTGCTCATACATATTTGGTTGGCTGTGCTTGACGATGAGCCCTAAAAGTAGGCAACATATTCGGCTTAACGGGTATCTTTTAGTTGTGGCACTCGAACTTTGCTTTATTTTTTTTTATGTTTTTCTTATACCGTTTCTCCAGCGTTTGGCAACACGTGCAGCACTCACACACAAACATACTCGCGTAGGAGGCTCGTCACCGGCCTGCGCATGTGAGTTAGTGTGTCGGTGTGGGTCGTAACAGAGAACCGCTCTCATTCACTTGCTCTCCGATACAACTGTTATACTAAAACCAGTTTACATGCGCCGCGTATAACAAACGACTCTGCCAACGTCGCTGCTTCTGCTCAAAAAGGACAAACTCAAGGGCAAAACTCAAACAAAAAACAAACAAAAAAACTGGAAACTAGAAGAAATACAAAAATTAGGGAGTATGTCTTGCACAAATTTCGTACGCCTGACTTTGATAAGTTCGCCTTGATTGCCATACTTGGACATATGCATACATATATATGTACATACATATGCATATAGATTTATTTCTACATATGTATGGATGTATGTTCATGGGTGATACGTATTGGACCCTATACTATTTTCTAGATTACACAATCAGTCCCGGTTTTAATATCAAGTTTTTTTCGTTGCCACTCCCACGAAATTTGTTGTTGGGAGAGGATTCGGCGAGTGTGTGGGTGTGCGTGTATGCGCCTGTGTATGTATGCTTGTGTGTCCCGACTGACACACTTTTTGACCTCCCATGTCTCTCTCTATCTAACCTGCCCCTCTCTTACTAGCTCGTGGGCGTGCTTAAGCCTACCCTTTGAGGTTATGTTCGTTGATTGCATATTTAAGCAACTTCCATTGATTAACCATCAACTAGCGACCAAAAACATAAACGAAAAACAAAAAACAAAAACGAAACCTCTATCTGTCGCCTGGCCCTTTGTTAAGTGTCGTTATTGATATTGATTGGCCAAACTTTTCCACGCACGCAAACAGCTGGCATTTAACGTTATCGCTGGCAAACAAATACCCGTTACGATAAGTTTTACCGTTGTAGTAAACAAGCCATTAACCGATTCAATTTATTTACCAGAAATCCAGAATTTTTCCAGAAATCTTGACAAGTATTATATATTGAACTTGAAAAATGACCTTATCAATTCCATTGGTAGCCAAAATGTCATATGAATGAAGTTTGGACAGCATCGTATGACTTGAGTAGGTGATCAATAAATACAACTCTATAATTATGGGCTACAGTAAAGCCTCAGGAATGTGATATGATGTGCTGCGCACCCCCGCTGAGCCACTTGAGATCTCAAGGCTATCGGAATTATCTCGGCATTATCGCATTCGACGATCACATTCCGTATTGCAGTGGTCGGCCGTGAAATATTGCCGCATCCGGAGTCTGGAATATAGGAGCTTATCGGGCTGGGGGGCCAAAAACCGATCGAATTTCTTTGATAGGGAAAGTTCTTGTTCGATTTCTACCCCTTGAACCCCCTGAACGTTTGGCTAGACTAGTAATGGTAATACCCATTCCTCTCCTCCCACTTTTTGTTGTTGTTTGCTTTGTAAATTTATGTATTTAACTTTGATAAGAGGAATAGTCGATAGAAGTACTTGGCAATCGCTGAAGACCCCCCTTCCTGGCCTATGGGGCTTATCAATCTCGGGCCAAATATGGTAAATCAACTGGATGGTGGACGAGAAAGAGAGAGACAGATTTTGTTGGATATAAAGTTAGAGATACTATATATGTTATGTGCACAAATAGCTGCCAAATAACATGAAAAAAAAAACATGAATTAATTACTGCTTGGCAGCAGGGGCGATTCTACTACAGAGTACGCCATTAACCCCACGTCCGGGTACGTTGAATGCTTATCAGGGGTTCTGGAGGGGTATTATCGGCGGACTGGCTTTTGCACTTTTACTTTCAGCTATCAAACTCGTTTGGGAATCACGTCGATTGGGGTGAATTGGCTTTATCGGACAGTCGAATCTCTGGGCCCAATAAGCCCTAATGGCAACATGCCACGCTTAGTGTAAATGAATATATAAAGTAAATCAGCTTTTGCCACAAGTTGATCAAAAATGTATTAAGCAAGAACTTTATTTTGATATCCGAAGGTTTGATCCTTCCTTTTATTCCAATATTCACCTTTCCAACACTAGAAATGAAAAACTTAAGATAATGGTCATTATTTCATCAAGTTAAAGTCAAGTTACTCTATGAATCATCCACTTCCAAAACGTAATCTCTTGATATATGAGTCAACTAAATCGCCCAATGAAAGACCATTACGGTTAAGCCTTTAGTCGCACCAGAAGTACATAGTAAATTTTGGCTAGTAATCAAAGGGACCGATTTCCCAGCAGACCAGCCAATAAAAATAAACTATAGTTGTCCATTCATTGGGGTCTAAACATAAAAACAAAAACTTGTTGAGCAGAGCATTACCATTTGAATTGGCTTATCAGTCAAGTGGTACTACGAACAGAACTAGAACCAAGATCATTAACTTAAGTTGGACAATCTATATAAAACTTATTAATATATATAGTATATATACTCACATGGAGAGCAAAGATTATGGCGTATTTATAACTGATCACTGGTTTTTAGATCAGATTTCTTAAGTTTTAAAGAGGATTCAGTTATCTATGATAAACACTAACCTTCGATTAACCTTCTGGGCGATATCAATGAAGAGTATGCGCTGCTCCCCTTAGATCCATTTCCACTCCGGTGTTTGCTTATCAACTTGAGGTTCGGCAACAATTCTGATTACACTCCCCAATGTGCTTGACATGGGGCCAACCAGTGGTTAGCCCCCCGCCATTGCCACTTCCATTCCAAACGCCAAATAAAAAAAAATTCGCACAAATTCCATTGTCGAGTTTTCGTGGGTTCCAATTCTATATGGCCGATCATAAATATGTTTATTGTTTATAATCGTAAATAAATAGCGCAAGAGGAGAGCATATGAGTTCAGCTTCGAGGTGTTAAAGATCAGGCGGGGTATATATTGAGCTGAGAGCTATAGATTGGCTTGCCATTTGTCCTGTGCTTATCTAGGGATCTGGAATTATCTTTCCTTGCTCTTTAAGCTTCACTGTGAAAAGTACTCTATTACATTTTCTATTTTCTTCTGTCCTAATCTTCCCAACAATTAAGTAAGGCCCCATCCTAGAATATTCTATCACCCGTCAATGTATCGTTTGATTTCCATCTGTCTCTTATGCAATTCCAGCTTAAACTGCGTTTTACGCCAATTGAGAATTGAGAAGCGGAAGACAACGAGATCCAGTTCGAGATCGACTCGGCATTTGTTTTGTTTGCCAACTAACATATACCCATATATTTTTCAGGTAATTATCGTAGTATATACGGCCCTGGCTGAATAGTTGCTAAATGACTTGGCCAGAGTGCAGTGGGTTTTCGCTGGCGAATGAATGAATGAACCCATAAACGGGGGTGTACAAGTGCGCCCAGCAGTTCGGTTCAAAGTTCTGACTTGGGTCACAGTCGTTGAGTTAGTCACCTGTAATCCAAGTAATTGCGAACTTACTTAGGAAAATAATAAGATAAGCAAGTCATGATGAATATAAGCCATATATCTCAGTCAGTTTAAGCCCCTCTTCCAATATTGCTATTATTAATTGCAGCCTCGTTGCACTTTTCAAGAGGTAGTCTTATCAAAAGAGCTTTGCTTAGAATATAACTTACTCATATATATATTTCCCTGACGTTATCATTATTGATTTTCCAAGAATTATAGATATACGATCCGAGTAAGTTTCGAAACCGCAGCACATTTTTATAGGGTTGAGAATATCAAAGAAGGGAGGGAGGTTGCATGGGGTTGCATAAGGGTCTGGACATTGGAATACCTCGGACTGGGGGTGTAGGGTGCTTGGCCCGTTTGAGAAATGCAGAAACGTGATCTATTCCATGTTGTCTCACTGGCATTCTCTGTGGTTATCAGCCGAGCTGTGTGTGTCCCATTTGCACTCAAATTGGCCAGTTGTTTACGTTTACGTTTGCCGCTATTGGCAATTCTCTGGCTCTTTGTTTTTTTGCTTTGCTTTGCTCCGATTTGTTTTTGCTAGTTTCCGATTCTGTTGTTATTGTTTATAGCGCCCCAGAAAGGTGTTTAATTTATACCCCACAC